ATTTAACAATTAATTTTTAAAAATATTAATTAAAAATTAAATTTTTATACATGCCTTAAAAAAAAAAATTTAAAAAGTAACTTACCCGACACTAATTTTGTAAGCTAATTTGCCATTTCTCCTTCATTTTATAAGATTCCCGGCCCATCTTTTCAAATGAGGAAAATAAATAGGCTTTCACTAATTTTTGAATGTGGGTGTGAGCTAGATTGATTTGTTTTGAGTAAAAAAACATGGTGAGAAAGGATAAGCAAATCAAGTTTTTGATGGGAAAACCCACCATATATACCTTCCCTGGCTAAGTTTGTGAGATTTTTTTTCATAAGTAGCCAAGGGATTGAGCAATTTATGGTGGGGGCCCTCTCTCAGTATGATTTGTCTGCATACCAATTGAAGTCGACCCTTAGTCCTTACCACAAATTAATCAAGTCCTGGCACAAGTATTAAATTTCTCAATTACCACTGCCGAATTGTATACATCTCAATTAAAGTTTTGTCTATGCCTCTTTCCAAATTATAAGAAGTGTCAGAAATTGCTCCTCCAATTCCTCTCCTCTTTAATTTCTTCATGCTTGCAGCTTCTTATGGCAGAAGCAATACCATTGCTTCTCAACTTCCTTTAGGACATTTGTATGACTCAAATAAACTCATCAAAGTTTTATGGGCTAATTTGGAATGAGGGATTTAGAAGAGAAAGGAAAGAAAGTAAGGAGGTGACTCCTTTCATTTGTTTGGAAAACTTCAGGAAGATGGTGGGGTGATTTAGAGTTCCTCTAAATCTATTATTTCTTAATCCATTTAATTTAGGAAATTAGAAGAGATTGGATTTATTTTTATATTTTTATCTTTTTCATAAATATAATTAAAAATTTTAACTCAATAATACAAATCATTTTAATAATTAAAATAAAATATTAACATATTTAGTTTTTAAAATATTAAAAAAATTAATTTTTAATGAAAATATATATACTGTAAAGGAGAACTAGGGTGTATTTGTGTAAATGCGAAAATTACAGTTTTTTACATTATATAGAATAAATAGAATTAAATCTTGTAGTACTGCACTGACACAAGAGATATCAAGCAGGCTTTTACCGATATACATGGTGAAATCTCTCTCTCTCTCTCTCTCTCTCTCTCTCTCTCTCTCCCTTCCCCTTCCCCTTCGCCTTCCCCTGTTTTTCTCTTTATTTGCTGCCCTTTCTCTTTTCCTCACCTCTTCGGCTCTTCCCCCTCAAAAAAACCTACTTTCTGCCCCTTCCCTTTCATTTTCTTTACTGACAGAGAATGCCCCGCACACTTCCTCATGAACGCACGCATACTCAAAACCAGAATCCACAGAGCCCCACTCCGTCAGCATCCATATCTCAGCTGCCTCCTTTCTCTCTCATATCATATCTGAAGAAAGAAACAGAGCAGAACAGGACAGAGCACAGAAAACACAGAATTTTTTTTTTCCATCCATATCATACCTTTATGTATATATATTTTTTTGCCTTTTTCTCTGCCACTCATTCATCGAATCCCTGTAGTAACCCCCACCCATATAATACCCCATCCACAGCCTCCCATACCACCAAACAGCAAACTTGCAGTAACCCCATTTCTCCCCCTTCTCTGCTTCCCCCCCCCGTTTCTTCTCTTCCTCTGCGCAACCCCACTCATGATCTTCGCATTTTGGCGTTTGAGCAGGGATTTTCCATCTGGGTCTTTGGTTTAAAGACTGTATACTCTTGGGTTTCTTCTTCGTCTTCTGAAAGTTTGTTTCTTTTTCTCCATGAATATGGCTGGTTATCATCATTTTGACCATGGTGATGCTCATCTTCCTCCTGGCTTTCGTTTCCACCCAACTGATGAGGAACTCATCACCTACTACCTCCTCAAGAAGGTTATGGACAGCAACTTCACCAGCCGAGCCATTGCCGAAGTTGATCTCAACAAATGCGAGCCATGGGAGCTTCCTGGTGATTCACATCACTCCAACTAATTTTATCCTCGTTTACAGTTTCCTGTTGGTCAAGTTTCTGACATTTTGTAGAAAATGGCAGAGAGGGCGAAGATGGGAGAGAAAGAGTGGTACTTCTTCAGTCTCCGTGACCGGAAGTACCCAACTGGCCTGAGAACCAACAGAGCCACGGAGGCCGGATACTGGAAGGCCACCGGGAAAGACAGAGAGATTTACAGCTCCAAGACCTCTGCTTTAGTGGGCATGAAGAAGACTCTGGTTTTCTACAGAGGCAGAGCTCCCAAAGGAGAAAAAAGCAACTGGGTCATGCACGAGTATCGCCTTGAGGGCAAATTTGCATACCATTACCTCTCCCGAAGCTCCAAGGTCTATCTTCTACACTCTCCATAATCCACTTTCTGGGGTTTTTGAACAGTTACGGTTCTTGGTTGTTAATCTTCAGAAGAAGTTAAGTTTTTCAAGTTATGAGCCTTTCAGATAACTGTTACCCGTACATTTTTGCTTCCTCAACATAGCTACAAATTGCTCTGGCAAATGGTTAAGGATAGACCAGCTTCTGGGGTGGTTATGGTTTTCTTTACTGCTTATCCCATACATGCATTTCACATAAATGGTAAATGTCTTTGATCTGCATGTAGTACGCTGTTTTTCATTTAAAGATGGCACAAAGCCAATACAATGGCATACATATATCTTTTAGTACGCATGCATATTAATTTCTGCGTCCTTTTTTCTTTGAAAATTTCAAAACTAAGAATGTATTTGCTCTAAAGTGATCCAATGATTCACGTTTTGACTCTCGGGCCTCAGAACTTGGTGACATTAATGTTGTAATTGCTTTCCCCCCTAAATTCCCCATGCTTAAAAAGTAAAGCTTGGTTTCTTTTCAGGACCAGTTAATTTTTGTCCTTAAATGATTAATTCAATAAATAGTCTGATCTTTCTGTACATGGCGGAAAATGCAAGGATTTAACAGCATTATGCCTAAAAGCTTTGTTCTTGCATGAAAACTGAGTTCTGATTCCTCTGATCAGTTACGGATTATCCCTTTGAAAAGTGAATACTGTTGACTTTTTGCTAAGTTCAACTCTTTTTTTTTTTAATGATATCAGGATGAATGGGTGATATCCAGGGTGTTTCGGAAGAGTGGCTCCGGCGGTGGTGCCACCGCCAGTGGTGGTGGTGCCAAGAAGACTAGGATGAGCTCAGCCATCAGCCTATACCCAGAGACAATCTCTCCTTCCTCTGTCTGTCTTCCTCCTCTCCTGGACCCTACAGCCACCATCACCACCACCACCACCACTGTGGCTACCACCAATTCAATCACGGACTGCGATAGCTACTCCTACGACAGTCACGCCCCTGCCGAGCACGTGTCCTGTTTCTCCAGCATTGCTGCACCAGCTGCTTCTGCCGCTGCTACCAGCAATGTCACTGCTACTACTGGCCGCTTCAACCCCAGTTTCGATATCCCAACGCAGTCGCCTCTGCCGCAGACAGCCACGACCTCCACCTTCGATCCGATTGCACGTTTCTCAAGAAACGTGGGTATGTCAGCATTTCCAAGCCTGAGGTCTCTTGAGGAGAATTTGCAACTCCCTTTTTTCTTCTCCCCTCCTCCAGCAGTTCACGATCCCCCTCTCCACGGTGGCTCAACCGTGACCTGGGGTTCCATCCCGGAGGAAGGTGGCGTCTCTGCTCATGGCGGCGAGATGGCTACCGATGCCACTGAGCTAGACTGCATGTGGACTTTCTGAACGCAGAAACTTGAGGGTTTTCATTAGCGTTTCTGATCTCTTATCAAATGACAGTTCTAAGTATTTTTTATATTAGGGTATTGTTATCTGTGTCTCTTTTTCTGGGTGCCTTGAAAATGACTGTTTTAATTTAGTTAAGTTTTATCTGTAATCGTAATCCTTAAATTCATATGAAAATAAATATTGGTCTCAAAGCTCTACTACTCTCTTTAATTCAAACTTAATTTTGTTGATAAAAAAAATCCAATTAATTTGAGAGTACGACGATAGTGATATGTGTGGGGAGGCAAAAATTTTTTTTTTCTTTTTTATAACATAGTATTTACAACTTTGGTAAAATTAGCTTCATATGATCGCATGCAAACCACATCCCTCTTTATCATGACTTTGTTTCGGGGTTTAATGCTATGTTGTGGTTATAGTTGGAAGTTTTTGGTTTTTATTACTTCAAAGGTAAAATGTCAATTCTGGTGTAATCTCTTAATTTTAAAGTTTTATATAATTTTTATCTTTTAAATTTTTAAGTATTTTTTTGTCTTTTAATTATGAAAAATATATTTTATTATTTTATTATTAATTAATTTGTTAAATTTATCTAAGTATATATATATTTTTAATTCGTTAAGTTTGCCTAAAGTTGAAGGACAAAAACTCCTAAAATTGAAAGATAAAAAATATGTATATATTATAAGTTAAGGGATTAAAAATAAATAAGATTAAATAAATTTAATGAATTAATTGATAAAAATATTTAAAAAATATGTTTTTTTATAATTAAAAAATTTAAAAAAAAACATAAAAAATTAAAAAAAAAATTGAAAAAATTTTAAAGTTGAAAGAGTCAAAATTAGCATTTAACCTTATCTAAAACATATATACTCGTAGAACATTACTTATCATAGTTATTTGGAGATTGAAGTTGTAATTAAAATTAATTAAGAATAATAAATTTAAATTTTTAAATGAGATTTTGTTTAAAAAAATTGATGACAAATGAATTGTAGTCTCAAATAAATAAAAAAAAATTAAAATAACATGAAAAAAAAATTTAATTATGAAAATTATAAAAATAGAAGAAGATTAAAGTAACTTTTATTACTACTTACTAAATAATAGAGAAAAGTGAAAATTTAATTGTTTTGATGCTTTAAATATTAGAATTTTTTGTGAAATTATTTAAATATTTTTCATGCTTTTTTTTTTAGATTCATTGAAGGTATTTTAGCTTTTTTGTTACTATTTTTGACATTTTAATTATTAGAATGTCCTGATTTTTCTCAAATCCTAAATAATAATTGGGTTGCGTGTCCTTAATTAAGGTACAAATTAATCGTATATTTATTGTAACTTTTTTCTCATTAATATATATGAGTTTTTTAATCAATATTTTATCAATTTTTTAATTAAAAACTTTACATGATATGAATACTAAAATTAATATTAAATTTTTTATTTTTAATATAAATTAATATTTAAAAAATATATTTAATATACCCCTTAATTTAAGCTACAAATTAGACTAACGCATAATAATTTAAAGAAAGAAGGGTACTGAAAGTTTGGGGGCATGGGGAATTAGGATCCATGCCATTTTCTATATATTGGTCTCCATTCCCAACCCAACTATCATTAACAACTTATTTAAGCCTCCGAAAATCAAGAACTAGTAGTAGATCTTGGTTCAAGAGATTTGGATTCGGGTCAATTCACAACAGTCCTGATAATACTAATGAGAACTGTAAAGTTGCTTTTAATGGCAAAATTTAATGTTTGAATTTTTGGGTCTCTTCCCATTGATCCACACTATCTTTAGCACCGTCATTTAGTTTTTTCCTTAGTTGCATTGAATAGTTAATGCTCCGAAAGAAACGAATTTATATATGTAAACATCAAATGGGGTGACGTATTTTTTTGGTGATAAATTTAATAGTACTATGATAGTATTGTATCCCATTGTACGTATATATCAAAATTTAGAGTTAAGGAAAGGGAACATCTAGCTAACTTGGATGCGTTTTCTACTTACCGATCAACATAAATAATGTATAATGATTCCTACCTGCTAGCATTTGTTTCTATGGACCCAAAAAGTTTTCCCTCTACGTCATCTTCTTGCTTGCTTATATGCTTTCTTTAATTAATATGTCGGAAAGTAGAAGATTCAATCATACCATAGTCGTTAAGACTGGATTCAATCATGCAATGCAATGCAATAGATTCAAGCATTGAATCTTAAAACCTTAGATATTTCTACATGTCCATTGGGCACTCTTATCAACACTGATATCCAAACCTCGTGTTTGTGTATTCGGAATGGCAAGTTTCTGATGCAGAAACGAACACACTAAAAATAATTGCACGGGGTTTTTTTAGGTATATTGAAACTTAGTTGACTTTTTGGGATTTCAAAAGTGAAAATAATATGATTATAATGACTCTTAATATTGTAATAATTTTATAATTATAACATGTTATTATGTAATTATTCTTTACATTCAAGTAAGGGAAGACATATGTTGGGAAGGGATTAGGCACAGGCACAGGCACAGGCACAGGCACAGGCACTACTCCTCTTCCAAAAAAATTCTTATAATTTTCAAGGTTTATAATTATAAGACCCTACCTGTTAAAAGAAAAATAATATACATGGCTTTTTAATTTTGAACTTTACTTGTTACTTCTTTTATTATAAAGTAATTGTCATTTTTTTTTTCAAATTAAGGATTTGAAGATAATATTTGTATTTATCTATAATATCTTAAATTAAATTTTTTTTTTTTGTGATTAGATGAATAATTAAAGTGAATGGATAATGATAGGATTAAAATGAAAAAAATACTTGTTGATTTTGAAAAATAAAAAATAATAATTAATTTAAGATAAATAAAAAGTAAGAAAACAATAGCTATTTTGAAACGGAAGGAATAATACCAAATACAAAAAAACAATAGGCCCTATTCAATGATAAAATCCTAATTCCACTTATATATTTAGAAATTTACCAATAATATTATATATATATATTTAACCATATAATAATATATTATAATTTTAATCTTATAATCTTAAATAGTATTCTCAATATAATATTGTTGTTTTAGGAGTTTGAACTTTACTCGGTTTCAACATGATCATATTCTTTATGGTTATAAACTTAAAATACTTGTTGGTGTTTGTTGGACATTTATTGAGAAATCACCCTCCATCATCAAGTCATTTTTGAAAAAAGATTTCTGGCATTTCAGTTCCTGGAAGGGTAGCTCCCTAGGTATTTTGCCTACAATAATCAGTAATGTTGTCTATAATAACCAGTTATTTTACTATGAAAATTACATGATACTCTTTATTATTGATTTTTTAGATTTTTAGAGATAAATTTTAAATAAAAATTTAACGATTTATATAAATAATAATTAATTTTTTTTTCTATATAAAGTTTCTTATCGAATATTTTTATTTGATTAAAAAAATTTTAAATTATCTTTTATATAATATTTTAAAATTTAATTTGAAATTCATATACAAAAAATTAAAAAGTCAAATTAAAACTATTAAAAATGAATGAAAAGGAAGTACTAAAAATAATTGGAAATATTTTTTCATTTCACCTTGCAAAAAATAATTAGTTTTAGGGTTTTTTACATGTGTCCTTAAATAAAAAAATGTAAAAATTAACATTAATTTTAATATTGTTATCAAATGGATAAATTTAATTGATCTGTTTATAAATTAAAAGTTAATTTTTATTTTTTCAACCTAAATTTATGATAAAAATGTATTTTTTATATTTTTAATTTATATTTTAAGGGTATAAGTTAAAAATATCTTTAGTTATATTAAAAAATTACTGATAAACTCTTTATTAGTGAAAGGACAAAATTAACCCTTGAACTTATACATTTGTGGAATAAGTGCCCCTATAAAAATATCAGCAGAAAATGAGATATCACACTCTTCAAGGTACAGAGTTGAAAAATTAGGTAATGAAGTTACTTAACCATTAAAAATGTTTTTTTTTTTATATATATATTTGATAGACTCTTTAATCGCGACATCAACGCTAAGTTTGAATTCTACCATCACAACTAATTACAATTTTTTTTTTAATCAAGCAATAAGGATTTCTATCATAAAAGTTAGAAGCATTAGTTGGAACAAAATAAAGATTATGAAAAAGGGTTTTTCTTTTTAAAAAAGGTTGATCATTAAAATTTCTAATTAAAATTTATAAAGATTTAGGATTGTTTGAAACTTTTTTACGAAAGTTCAGGGAGCAGCTGCGCCCTGCACGGTACCCTTTTTTTCATCAGTCCCAAAGGTTAAGTCAACCGACCTGTTTAAAACAGGTTATGGGGACTCATGGATAAGACTTCTTCTTCACCTGTGACTTGTTTCAGCTTAACTCGTTTCACCAGCGAGTCAAACTAATTTGACCATAAGTTTACTCATTCAAGTAAATTATTAGTAAAAGTTTATTTAATTTGTGTTAATAATTTAAATAATTTAATAATAATTTTTTTTATAAAATTAAAAAATTATAAATTCAAATTATATAACATAGAGTTAAAGTGAGTTAAGAAGTAAGAAAATGTTATCTTCTATTATAAAATTTAAAATCATATATATAGGATTAGGGGTGAGCATTAACTACTGGTACCCATTGTTTGCAAGTACCTTACTTGTTTGAATAAGTAATGGGTATGAAAATAGCATCTCCATAAATATTAAGTCATATAACAAATATAGGGGTTTAAAATTGTCCAGCCAATCTATTTAACCAACTGATTCAACTTACGTATTACCTATACTTATATTATTAAAATTTTATATATACTTGTTATATTTAATATTTATATAATAATAATAATTTGAAGAAAGGTTTATTATTTTCTTGAATAATACTGTATATACAATAATTTATATATAAGTGTTTATAAAGAGAATATTTTAAGGTATAAAGTATATAAAGAGAATATTTTAAAGTATAAAATATTTACAATAATTTCAAATATAATTGTGTTCATATCTTAACATCCCCCTTCAAACTCAAGGTGGTTGTGATGAACTCAACTTGAGTTTGAAAAGAAGAGTACAAAAGCGTCCAGGAAAATGAGCTTTGGTAAAGATGTCTGCTGGTTGATCAGCGGAGCCAATGAAAACCAAATGAACAATTTCTTGTGCAACATGATGGCGAA